AGATAACCCGCGCTGGATTTCGGCCTGCTACCTCTTTTAAAGTTTGTGTTCTGAGTTAATCTTACCCCAAGGAAACATGCTTTTGAGAGTATATATTACAACACGTATATTCTTGTATCTTGTTAGTCGTCTTTATGTTTCTATAGAGGTTAAGTAAGAATTGACTAAATATGTTTTAACGTAGATTAGCGTAAAAATCAATGTACTGCGTGCAATGTGTAAATGCGACTATGTTTCTGTGTTACTGGCAAAATAATGGCAATACATTGCTTGGTTAGCCAATCAGAGGCCAAAGAATCTCTTCCGATTTATTTAGAATCTGAACAAGATCAGAGGATAAACCAGGAACAGAAACAGCTGCATCTTGTCCCCTTGGTATATATAGCCAGTACAGTGACGTGAAGTACTCGGTATATATAGCCAGTACAGTGACGTGATGAACTCAGTATATATAGCCAGTACAGCGACGTGATGAACTCAGTATATATGGCAAGTACAGTGACGTGATGAACTCAGTATATATATAGCTAGTGCAGTGACGTGATGAACTCAGTAATATATAGCCAGTACAGTGACGTGATGAACTCAGTATATATAGCCAGTACAGTGACGTGAAGGACTCGGTATATATAGCCAGTACAGTGACGTGAAGGACTCGGTATATATAGCCAGTACAGTGACGTGAAGGACTCGGTATATATAGCCAGTACAGTGACGCGAAGACTCGGTATATATAGCCAGTACAGTGACGCGAAGACTCAGTATATATAGCCAGTACAGTGACGTGAAGACTCAGTATATATAGCCAGTACAGTGACGTGAAGGACTCGGTATATATAGCCAGTACAGTGACGCGAAGACTCGGTATATATAGCCAGTACAGTGACGCGAAGACTCAGTATATATAGCCAGTACAGTGACGTGAAGACTCAGTATATATAGCCAGTACAGTGACGTGAAGGACTCAGTATATATAGACAGTACAGTGACGTGAAGGACTCGGTATATATAGCCAGTACAGTGATGTGAAGGACTCGGTATATATAGCCAGTACAGTGACGTGAAGGACTCGGTATATATAGCCAGTACAGTGACGTGAAGGACTCGGTATATATAGCCAGTACAGTGACGTGAAGGACTCGGTATATATAGCCAGTACAGTGACGTGAAGGACTCGGTATATATAGCCAGTACAGTGACGCGAAGACTCGGTATATATAGCCAGTACAGTGACGCGAAGACTCAGTATATATAGCCAGTACAGTGACGTGAAGACTCAGTATATATAGCCAGTACAGTGACGTGAAGGACTCGGTATATATAGCCAGTACAGTGACGTGAAGGACTCGGTATATATAGCCAGTACAGTGACGTGAAGGACTCGGTATATATAGCCAGTACAGTGACGTGATGAACTCAGTATATATAGCCAGTACAGTGACGTGATGAACTCAGTATATAGAGCTAGTGCAGTGACGCGAAGACTCAGTATATATAGCCAGTACAGTGACATGAAGGACTCGGTATATACAGCCAGTACAGTGACGTGAAGGACTCAGTATATATAGCCAGTACAGTGACGTGAAGGACTCACGACATCCGCTGTCCATGTTAGTCGACTCCTGCTAGCCTGGGGTGCAGAGGGGCTATTCTGACACAGAATCCCCACGGTGAGACAAGCGAAGGAAACAGGGACCTATTCTGACCCAGGTAGCTCCATGGGGAGACAAGCATGGGTTGTTGGGGACCTATTCTGACCCGGGTAGCTCCATGGGGAGACAAGCATGGGTTGTTGGGGACCTATTCTGACCCGGGTAGCTCCATGGGGAGACAAGCATGGGTTGTTGGGGACCTATTCTGACCCGGGTAGCTCCATGGGGAGACAAGCATGGGTTGTTGGGGACCTATTCTGACCCGGGTAGCTCCATGGGGAGACAAGCATGGGTTGTTGGGGACCTATTCTGACCCGGATAGCTCCATGGGGAGACAAGCATGGGTTGTTGGGGACCTATTCTGACCCGGGTAGCTCCATGGGGAGACAAGCATGGGTTGTTGGGGACCTATTCTGACCCGGGTAGCTCCATGGGGAGACAAGCATGGGTTGTTGGGGACCTATTCTGACCCGGGTAGCTCCATGGGGAGACAAGCATGGGTTGTTGGGGACCTATTCTGACCCGGGTAGCTCCATGGGGAGACAAGCATGGGTTGTTGGGGACCTATTCTGACCCGGGTAGCTCCATGGGGAGACAAGCATGGGTTGTTGGGGACCTATTCTGACCCGGGTAGCTCCATGGGGAGACAAGCATGGGTTGTTGGGGACCTATTCTGACCCGGGTAGCTCCATGGGGAGACAAGCATGGGTTGTTGGGGACCTTTCTCACACAGAATCCCCATGGGGAGACATGCAGGGTTATTGGGAACCTATTCTCACACAGAATTCCTGTGAAGATCCGGGGTAGAATAGGTCTTTCTGCATCTCATGCATGCCGTAAAAAGCGACTATGCCTGTCGTAAGAGGCGACTTACAGATTCGGGTGGTCAGGCTCGCTGACTTGGTCGATGCATGTCATCGTATCCCAATTGTGTGGATCGATGCTCATGATGTCAGTTCTGGATTGTCTGGTCCGGACTCGATTATTTAAACAGACCGCCGTTATATAGCTGGAATATTGCCGAGTTCGGGGTTAAACAACAAACAAAACAGTATATATAGCCAGTACAGTGACGTGAAGGACTCGGTATATATAGCCAGTACAGTGACGTGAAGGACTCGGTATATATAGCCAGTACAGTGACGTGAAGGACTCGGTATATATAGCCAGTACAGTGACGTGATGAACTCAGTATATATAGCCAGTACAGTGACGTGAAGGACTCGGTATATATAGCCAGTACAGTGACGTGAAGGACTCAGTATATATAGCCAGTACAGTGACGTGAAGGACTCGGTATATATAGCCAGTACAGTGACGTGATGAACTCAGTATATATAGCCAGTACAGTGACGTGAAGGACTCGGTATATATAGCCAGTACAGTGACGTGAAGGACTCAGTATATATAGCCAGTACAGTGACGTGAAGGACTCGGTATATATAGCCAGTACAGTGACGTGAAGGACTCGGTATATATAGCCAGTACAGTGACGCCCCCCCGGCAAGACAAGTATGAGGTATCGAGGCCCTATTTTGACCCAGAATCCCTAAGATCCCACAAAGCGATCTAAGCAGTTGAAGACTGGAGTTACGATTATCCTAGTGCTATGACTGTCATAGGCCTAAGTCAAAATATGGGAACAACAATTGTCTTCGTGCTAAGACTGTCATAGGCCTAAGTATTGGAGTTACGATCATCTTGGCGCTACCACTGTCATAGCACACGTTCAAGTATTGGAGATACGATCATCTTAGTGCTACCACTGTCATAGCACACGTTCAAGTAATGGAGTAACGATCATCTTGGCGCTACCACTGTCATAGCACACGTTCAAGTATTGGAGATACGATCATCTTAGTGCTACCACTGTCATGGCACACGTTCAAGTAATGGAGTTACGATCATCTTAGTGCTACCACTGTCATAGCACACGTTCACGTATTGGAGATACGATCATCTTAGTGCTACCACTGTCATAGCACACGTTCAAGTATTGGAGATACGATCATCTTAGTGCTACCACTGTCATAGCACACGTTCAAGTATTGGAGATACGATCATCTTAGTGCTACCACTGTCATAGCACACGTTCACACGTTCAAGTATTGGAGATACGATCATCTTAGTGCTACCACTGTCATAGCACACGTTCAAGTATTGGAGATACGATCATCTTAGTGCTAACACCGTCATAGCACACGTTCAAGTATTGGAGATACGATCATCTTAGTGCTACCACTGTCATAGCACACGTTCAAGTAATGGAGTTACGATCATCTTAGTGCTACCACTGTCATAGCACACGTTCAAGTAATGGAGTTACGATCATCTTAGTGCTACCACTGTCATAGCACACGTTCAAGTAATGGAGTTACGATCATCTTAGTGCTACCACTGTCATAGCACACGTTCACACGTTCAAGCATTGGAGATACGATCATCTTAGTGCTACCACTGTCATAGCACACGTTCAAGTATTGGAGATACGATCATCTTAGTGCTACCACTGTCATGGCACACGTTCAAGTAATGGAGTTACGATCATCTTAGTGCTACCACTGTCATAGCACACGTTCACACGTTCAAGTATTGGAGATACGATCATCTTAGTGCTACCACTGTCATAGCACACGTTCAAGTATTGGAGATACGATCATCTTAGTGCTACCACTGTCATAGCACACGTTCAAGTATTGGAGATACGATCATCTTAGTGCTACCACTGTCATAGCACACGTTCACACGTTCAAGTATTGGAGATACGATCATCTTAGTGCTACCACTGTCATAGCACACGTTCAAGTATTGGAGATACGATCATCTTAGTGCTACCACTGTCATAGCACACGTTCAAGTATTGGAGATACGATCATCTTAGTGCTACCACCGTCATAGCACACGTTCAAGTAATGGAGTTACGATCATCTTAGTGCTACCACTGTCATAGCACACGTTCAAGTAATGGAGTTATGATCATCTTAGTGCTACCACCGTCATAGCACACGTTCAAGTATTGGAGATACGATCATCTTAGTGCTACCACCGTCATAGCACACGTTCAAGTAATGGAGTTACGATCATCTTAGTGCTACCACCGTCATAGCACACGTTCAAGTAATGGAGTTACGATCATCTTAGTGCTACCACTGTCATAGCACACGTTCAAGTAATGGAGTTACGATCATCTTAGTGCTACCACTGTCATAGCACACGTTCAAGTAATGGAGTTACGATCATCTTAGTGCTACCACTGTCATAGCACACGTTCAAGTAATGGAGTTACGATCATCTTAGTGCAAACATCGCTGTTGTAATGGGGAACGGGAAAATCATAACAAACGTACATTTAGAGAGTATTGTTTTATTGTCTCTCTGACCTTAAAAGTTTCTGAAATAATAAAGACATTTCACCATTGATTGACTGTTCCAGTTAAAGTACTGAATGAACAGCTAACCATGTTGTCCACCCCAGTTAATATCTACAATAACACTTCTGATACAAACAATATCATTTAATTCCAGCAGCTGACTATATCGTAATTCTTTGTCGATTTATTTCTTCAGTATTTGAAACATTTGAACCATTGCCAGATATATGTGTGCCTGTCATGGAAGAACATATAACAAACTATTACAATTTGTTTCTGTCAACTGAAGCGGAGTAGGGGGCCTACCCCAGGCATGTCTGATTCATGGCGAAGAAACACTTGACTGATGCAGACAGACAATATTCTTGACGAAAAAAAAGATGGAAATAACATATCTTGCCCTTCACACAAATAATGCCCACAAATAGCAATTCTAGAAACAAAACAAATACAGGGTACCTATGTTTTATTTCAATAAATCTAGATCTAGAGAGTCAGAAGAATGTGGTCTAGCTGTACACCTCTCCCAAGTGTGTCATCAGTGTTTAGCCTGTGTTTGTTAAATCCATTCCAGTACTGCGGACCCATTCACAGCAATAACAGCTCTTATCAAGAACTTTTGCATGTGAGAGTGAGAGAGAGTTGGGTTTAATGTCACTTTGTACAGTATTCCAGTTATATCCTAGTATGTCAGCTTAACGTGGGGGGAAGCCAGAGGTAAAGCAGATCTCAGATGTTTACTGCTTTGGTTTAACCCACCAACATGGTTATGGTGCTTCCAAACCTAGAAACATAATCAGGGCGATCCAGGATTCAAACCCATGATCATAGGTTTCTGGCATGACCAAGGGACACAACTCTGCACAGCGAATCGTGGTGCCTTAAATCAGTGGGTCACAGTGGCCCTCATGACAGTCATTTACGCCGCTTTTAGCAATATTCCAGCAATATGATGGCAGGGGACACCAGAAATGTGCTTCACACATGTACCAATGTGGGGAATCAAACTCGGGTCTTCAGTGTGATGAGCGAATGCTTTAACCACTAGGCTACCCCACCACCCGACAGAAATTTGACAACTACGTAATATTATAACATCCTGAGGAGAGTAGTTAGACGGGTGACTGTGTCCTGTAGCTTGGCTCAGGAGTTTCTAGGGCTTTGGTCCTGCCCCACACTGAAGCACATGTTGCACATGTCGTGTCTCCTACGCAAAGTTCACCTAGCAGTGAATGGGTACCCGGTAGGATGAGATAGTAATGTGACAATTAACAGGGTATTTATCCTACTAGGACAGAGATAATCCACTGGATAATCCAGGATGGTAACTTGTGAAGCTAGGTCAGGGTGGGTGAGTGAGTGAGTTGGGTTTAACGCTGCTTTTTACAGTACTACAGTTATATCACGGCGTGTCAGCTTAATGTGTGAGCAAGAAGTGATGCAGGTCTCAAACGTTTACCACTTCGGTGAAACCCACGAGCATGGGTATGGTGCTGACAAACCTAGAAACATAATCAGGGCGAACCGGATTCGATTCCACAATCATAGGTTTCTGGCATGCCCAAGGGACACAACTCTGCACAGCGAATCACGGCCCTTAGACGACTGGCCCCCCGTGCCCCCCTAGGGCAGGGCCTCTCATGGAAGATAAAAGTAGATTCTCCTGAGACAGCTGACAAAAACAGAGTTGAATAGAAGGCCAAAACCACCACACGTTACATTTATAAACACACAAACACATCAGCACAAACTGCTTGTTTGAAAGAGGGATGCACATCCGTAGAGGCAAGTAAGTTGGGCTATCAACAATCCTGTAGATTTAAGTTGCTATCGTTGCTACAGAAGCTATCGTTGCTACATTTGTGTAATTAAGAGTCACACTATACAACAAGTTGTCAGGAAATCAGCATTTGACCTATATAATGTAGGTCTGATGCAGCTGTGGCATACAGTAAACTGAACTACCCAATAAAGATTAAAACCCATTTCATGTATTATGTGTATAACAATAGTTATAAAAGACATCAAAATATCAATGTTTCAAACAAATTGCAGTGAAAGACGTGGGACCGGCTCCAATCTCTGAGAACTATGTATCACACTGACTGGTCGACTCCATCCTCATTGGCTGGCATTTGTGTTTCTTACCCCCTAAGTGAGTGAGTTGTTTTTAAAATTGCCTTAAAGTCTTATTAAATAATATTTCAGTTACAGCGTGGTGCAGCCGCTCAAGGTGGAAGAGAAACCCTAAAGTGATGCATGCCAAAGATGTAACACGGGTAGGGTGCTGATGATCCTGGTGCTGCTAAGGGACCTAACTCTGCACAGACATGAGGATAATGGGGCCTCAGGTGCCCTCGATGTCAAGACAATAATTTAAAAAGAATTTGCAAATTTGTGGAGATAAGAAACACAGAAATACAAAGAAGAGTCCTACAATCCTACATGTGTCAGTATTATTGTGTCTTCAAGTGGTTCAAAAAGCGATACAGCTTTGTTTGGTTGGCTCTGACAGTTATAGAACCTACCAGAATCAGTAGGTCAAGAGTAAGTTTGAATGACAATATACATACCAGACAGTATGTAACAGTAACAGGTCGGACCTGCAAGGCAGTTTCATCAACACAAGCATACCATACAGGACCTTAGCCACATATTCAGAGCACCTTTAGAATTCAACACCACAACCTCGCGTGAGAATGATCTCCGCCATTGGTCATAAAACACAAGGACAAACTATCCGTCTTTGTTAGAATCCATCAGACTTGAACTCGCAACCTTTGGATAAATTAGCGCTTGCTATATTTAAAAACAAATATTAAATACTCTCAACATCACGAGGCTAATCCAATGACATTGTGTAGAGATGATAGATCACTGAGAGGAGCTTATGCACACTTGATGACCCCGGCAACCTTGTTGCTAGGCTGATGTCACATGGCATGTTTCAAGCTTTATCCTCCAACAAAATTTCATAAATATTTTTCTAGACTTTGTGGAGCTGAATTCTGAAGGTTGGCTGGCATATTCACAGTTTCAACCAATCTCAGTAAATCAGATCTCAGTTCTTGCTATCGCTAAACAAAGATCTGAGGACATCCCATTACGGATCACTTCAGAATGAGCTTTCATCCAACAAATCATGGCATCGCTTACCAGATTGTGAAAGTGACAGTCAGAATGTGTTTTCTGATCATGCAACCTCGTAAACGTTAACACGGGGTATTCTGAACAACAGTTACGGCCCATACGACTGATTCCGTTAAAATTATCGTCTCTCTCTCTCTCATAAACATATGAATGGAGGAGGCATTGCACAGTACATGGAAAGCACTGCCATACAATTTCAACCGTATTGTAGACATTCCGGAATGTTCATTTGTTCAGTTTCAAAAAATTTAAACGAGAACTGTGTCAACATATTTTTCAAGCATAGTCTGAAATGGAAGTCGCCAGGTTGAAACGTGTGCCGTAAAGCTCGAGAAAGCTGCTTTCTAATTGGCTGATGTCGACTTCTTGTTAGTCATTTCAGTAGTCGGTCAAAGCTTGCAAATGGTCGTTCTGACGTGACCCGTAATGGGATGTCCTCAGATCTTTGTTTAGCGGCAACAAGAACTTAGATCTGATTTTAATAAGATTAGAGTTTCAACAAAGTGGGACTTCTGTGAGTCGGCATCAGCTCGGGTCCTGTTGGGATATTATGCTAGAGAGTTATGTTCAACAAGGCTAAATATATCATAAATCACCCAATTAGGCCTTCCTAGAATCCAGAGACTAATAGAAATATTTAAATATATGTCCATTATTTCTTAATAACAATTATGGCATAGACAATTGTTAAGTGATGCTTCTCACATAAGCCCCAACAAACCTACGAGTGTACTCAGACATATAATAATGTGTTTGGGACTTGTGTACACGTGGCTATACGGACTACAATAACTAACAGAATGCAAACTGCAACCATATTAACATTATGAGAAGACTATTTAGGACGGACCAAATATAGTTCTATATGAAGCACCTTAAGTACATCTTAAGTACATCTTCAGCGCTCAGGCCACCCAGCTGACTGCCAGAATACACCCTCACTGGGGTGGGGAGGGGTGGGGACAAGGGAGGGGGTAGGATGATAAAAAGGGTCAAATGTTTCTCAGGCCTTATACTGTTTTTCGAAAGTGAAGGAAAGAACATGAAATTGCTTTTCATGGGATAAACTTTACAACTACAAACCAACCTTGTGACTTCATCAGTCAGGTGCCTGATCTTAACTTTTACATGACAAGGTCAAGGAAGATTCCATAGGGGACAAGATGAGCTGAAGCATTAATGGCTACATCTTGACCTACGAGGTACCTGACCAACAGTTCTCCATGTTAAGACTTACCAACAACACGATGAGAGTGTCACATGATAAGAGACAGCCAAATCTACCAATGTGGTACGTGGAGGCTACATCTGTGGTAACTGGGTGCCCCTCCATCCGTGTGTACATTGTCCCTCACGGGAAACATCGAGATAATTTCCTGGTCTCTAAACGCTGGCACCAGGCCAAGCAATCAGAGATGACTAGAATCTCAAACATGTATTCAATAAAACTTTAGCAAGATTTTTTTTAAAAATGTAAAAGGATAAAAAGGCATGTTAATCTTCCGGTGGCCTGAACATGAACAAGTACCGAGTTGTAACAAAAATAAATAAAAGCAGGACGAGGCTGGTGATATGTGGTTTAGCTGTCACCAGCTACTGGCTGTTCCTTAGTGAAGGTTTCCGAGGTCTGACCTTGACCCTGGGGGTCGCCTGAGGGGGAGGGGCTAGGTTGTTCTGTGGGTATACTCTGTTCTCGCAAGTTGTACAGCTCTTGGATAAGTCTCTTGATGCCAACCATCCACTGGTTCACCTACGGAATAAAAATGACGTATTTGCTAATTTTTCGAGGATATTTCATGTGTCCAGTGAAATATGACGTATCTCTATTCCAGTGACGTGGAAAAGGAGATATTTTCGATGTCACTCGATAAGAGATACATCATATTTTACAACACACATGAAATATCCTATTTATTATATACTTCATTTGTTGTTGACAATTATTTTAGAAACAAATTACCCCAAACAATTAAAACACAAATTCTAAATTCTCCACTGACAGTTTCATACATGGCTTCCTGCACTCAAACAAGATATAGTGCTGATTTTTAAAAAATAATTAAAAATAATACAAACTCCAAAAAATACTTGAATCAAATATTTCAATTTATGTACTGCTGATATTTCATTTCACACCTTTTGATTTATTGTACTCTTTTTCTGTTTGAGATATATTATCTAACACTAAGTGCATGAAAATATCAAATTTAAACAAAACACATGGCACTGAACAAAACCAGGAGGTGCGATCGCTTAGCAATGCCTTGGAAGCATAGCTGTTTAAAGAGCATAGCATAGAGTTTTAAACAAATAACGCATAAGAAGAAATGTTATCCAGTATATCTTTTACTGGATGTAAAATATTTTTACTGTCAAGACAGAAATATAAGTGTTTGGAAAACCGGCTACTGCTGCATGCAACAGACACAGAGGCAGGTAACTACGTGACCGACAGGTGTAGATGAAACTAGTCTGTTGCACTGAGTGACTCTCCGATCAGCTGATCACTGTGAGTATATCACTTTTCAAAACAATTGAAATCTCTCTCACACGCAAGTGCATAATATTTCCTTCTATCTGCTCGGATTGAACATGAATCTTCTCTGCCAGGTTTGTCAGGTTTCCTGTTGCTTCATCATCTCTACTTCATCATCTCTACTTCATCATCTCTACTTCATCATCACTACTTCATCTCTACTTCATCATCACTACTTCATCGTCTCTACTTCATCATCTCTACTTCATCATCTCTACTTCATCACTACATCATCATCACTACTTCATCATCTCTACTTCATCATCACTACTTCATCGTCTCTACTTCATCTCTACTTCATCATCTCTACTTCATCATCTCCACTTCATCGTCTCTACTTCATCATCACTACTTCATCATCACTACTTCATCATCACTACTTCATCTCTACTTCATCATCACTACTTCATCATCACTACTTCATTGTCACTACTTCATCATCACTACTTCATCATCACTACTTCATCGTCTCTACTTCATCAGCACTACTTCATCGTCACTACTTCATCATCACTACTTCATCTCTACTTCATCATCTCTACTTCATCATCACTACTTCATCATCACTACTTCATCGTCTCTACTTCATCAGCACTACTTCATCTTCTCCACTTCAAATCACTGCTTCATCTTCACTAGTTCATCGTTACTACTTACTATATATTTTAACCAAACCTATTTACCTCATTTGTATAATCCACCATTAAAGACAAGTGGATGCTATTCGCAAGGTCAAGGTTGTTCTGTTTCAGTGCTGTGGAGAGATAAAAACTAAATTAACATGTTGCCATGACAACTAAACCATAATCCTTCCAGGAAGCATAATGGGACAGTATTTATCTTCCACTCTCTTGTAGGTAATCCTCTCAGCCAAGTAGCAACTATTCTGTGTAACACTACACAACACAAACTCACAAGCACAAGTGGGAATTTAACAACATATAAATTGATAATTCAGTGCCATCATTTATATAAAAATACTGTAACAAATGTTATATTTGCGATAACACTTTCTAAGTAAAGTACAGATTCTCATACTTTTTTGGGTTGAGTCCTGTCCAGGATTCGAACCCACACTGGCAGAATGAGGCACCTAATCGCCAGTACACAAAGTCAGTGTTCTAACCCACTCAGCCACCGAGGCTTCCACAAAATGAAAGTCCATTAACTGGTAGTCTAGATCACATACTTTGTGTACCCCTCTTACAATTGTGAACTGGCAAACCCCCAGCCCTTGGTTACCAACAGAAGTCATCTGTCCCTGATCCCTTCACTGAATTTTCATCAGCGCTTCCATTGATCATCAGACATGGACTGGACGGGAGGGCCTGAATCTTGGAGCAGATTGTTTCTTCTAGACTGACACAACACATTACAATGCTTATTCCACACATGGCGGCGGTGATGCCACTCTACTGCCGTTGTTGTCAGCGCCCCCGCCAATGCTGGCACTCATGCTGCCACCGGCACCTTTTTCTGCTCCTGATGCATTTGAGATAAACCTCAACCTACTCTGTGGATAACGTGCTACATTCAGCACAATGAGAAACTCTTAAAATGCAAGGATATAGAAGTGAATCACAAGTGCATGTATATCACTGCACTATGAGCAGGGAAGGGATCAGGGACAGAGAACTCCTGTTGGTAACCCAGGGCTGGGGGCGCCCAAGAGAGGAAGAGGCACAACTGGGTTTTGGTTTATAGGATCAAAGTCCGGGAGGAAATTGCAATGTGTTGTGTCAGGATAAGAAATAATCTAAAGGTTTTCTTTCAAAGGTGTGAAAACCAAGACACAAGCAACAAGTGTGTTTATTGTTCAAGGCCACACTCAGAAATATTCCATCTATACGGTGGCCTGTAAATACTGAGTCTGGAGCAGACAATCACATGATTGAGATTGTGAGCGTTGATCTATGCCATCAGGGTATGATGATATGCCATGAACTAGCAGTCGCCTATTGCAACCAGCAGAGGTCGCTGGGGACAGTTCTACACTGGAACACCCCCGAGGGGCACTAGCAACAAGATGCTACGTCTTAAACTGTTACCTTCAACGAGCTGTGCAACGCGGACTTTGACAGGTGGAGAGATTTGTCCCCCCTGCCACACTTCCTGCAGCAGTGCTATCCTCCGCGACACGTCCTCTGCCGCCCGACCCTGGAGATATAAACACTGTGATAGAACTGCACCCAGGTTCCTGGCCAACATTACCAGGCGATAAAGCAGCTACCCCCATCCTCCCACACTGCTTGCCTTCACCCTGAGTCAGTAAGGATGTCACAGCATGGTGAGAGACTAGAAATAAGCTCTGCACAGTGAACCCTAAGGGTCAGCCTTGTGGGGTGAAATCAAACTGTTCTCAGGTAAATTCTGGTTAATGTAATCAGGCAATGTAATGGTTATATAGCTAGTCTCGAACTGTCAGATGCATGGTGTCTTGTCTGTTCCAGTAGCACTTTTTTTTATTTTTGTGTTTCTATCTTCATTCAATCCAATGCAATACTATGAAATATTTCCCCAGGGATATCAATACCAGGACCATTGCTCTCAGTAGTTCTCACTCAGAAGCATAACCTTTTTTTCAAATTTGTTGGCTTATTCACTCCTAAACAATTAGGCTTAAAAAATAATAGTCTAGGTTCTCAGGCACCACCCGCATCATCATAAAGTCTGCTGCACATTTTGTTTTTATTTCCATTTAAAAAACTCCTAATACTTAAATAAAATACGATCCAATATAGCACACAGTTACTTCCCTGCTAGTGGACTGCTTTATTGCACATCTTGTGTTATGGTCTTGACGGCAATTTGAGTTTGAGCCTCTTTCCTAGGTTGATGGAACACAACTGTTTTTTAGTTACAGTCAAGTCCCGTTAATCCGACATTGTTGGTTACACATGATTATGTCGGATTAACGAGTATGTCGGATAAACAAAATTAGGTAGTATCAACATTCGTGATAAAAAATTGGACAACTACACGATAGAAACGATACAAACACTTAATAAAAAAAGGAAAAAGGAAATATTCATATTGTTGTGTTACACTGTCAGTGGAATATGTTTTCTAATCATGCAACCACTATAGTTTAACACAAAACTACTGTTACAGACTTTATGACTGATTCAAAATACTTTTTATAAAGCTACTTTATAAAGTTACTTTCTTAGTGGCTAATGTCAACTTCCTGTTAGTAATTTTATTGCTCGGTCAAAGTTCGCGAAAGGTCCTTCTGACGTGACCTGTAATGGGAAGTCCTAAGCGGTAGCGAGAACTTGTACCCAATTTTAATGAGATTGAGGTAATCCAGGCATGTGTTTAATCCTGTTTTGTTTATTTAAAGCAGTAATTGTTTATTGTTAAGTAAGTTTATCTCTGCAGCCGTTGAAATATGCAGCTACTTGCCGACTCGTCTTGCATCAAAACACAGGGCTGTGTACTCGCAGGCAGATGACCACGGAGTACGCTGATCACTGTGTTGGATTAACGAGAATAATGAGTGTTTTCACCAATTTGTTGCAAATTAGGTGTGTCGGAGTCGGAGTGTGAGACTGTCGGATTAACGGGTCTAAATACTACTGATTTAATCGGTTCCCATCATTTGTGGCGGATAAAGCTGATTGTCGGATTAACTAGTGTCGGATTTACAAGACTTGACTGTACATACTAATCTGAGCAAGTAAATTAAAAACACACCACTCACACTATATTTTCAAAGGTTATTGCCCGAGAACCAATTCTTTTACTTTTTTAAGCCTTGTACATGTTGTTTATAACTTTGTCTTCACCAGATATTGATTAAAACATACCCCAGTGGGTTGTTGAGTTGCAGGCACACACTCACCTTGAGTTGCTCACTGCACTTGTCCCTCACTGTCTTCAGAGCCTCCTGTATGTAAGACAAGAGGCCGGCCTCACCCTCCACGTTAAGCCTTGCGGTCACGTCATCCAGCGTCTCCCTGTTCTCTGCCACAGGCCTGGCCACCCCCGGGTGAGAGAGCAGCCCAGGGGACAACTGAGAGCCAGGCTCTGGGGTGGGTATGAGGGTGGGGACCACCACGGGTAGTGGGGTGGGGGTACTTGTGTTTACAGCAGGAGGTAATAGTTGTACATTTCCTAGTTTCGGGGGACCTTCAGCTGGATTCAGAATGCTGGCTGTAAATAATGAGTAAACACAATTTGATATCTTGGATAACATGGCACCATTCACAGTCAAAATCTGAATATGTTTCATAAACAATCAATATCATTTGCAATGAACATATTTTATCATATTACAACAAATTCGTTTTCACTATAGTAGTACATCATCATGATCATAATTTGATTACAATAATAAATTCAGAATTCTTACTTAAACATTAAAAACACCCATTTCATCAGCATTCTTTGCCGTGTTGAGAAAAAAAAAAAAATTTAAACAAAGGGAGACAATTTCAACTATGTGTCAAATTGTCTCCCCTTCCCCACTGTGTCCCATTGCCTTATTCATGTGACATTTCTCATCTTTTTGTTTTCATTCCTAAATACAGTATGATCTCCCTTCATGCAATAATGACATAGCTTCTTACAGAACCTCATCTCTTAATTACTTATAAATATATTGAGGAAACATTTGCATTTTGCTTTCTCCTAATATCCAAAACTATGATCACTTGAGGGTATACATGACCCTGGCAATACATGTACATGCAGGTCTTTTCCACAGTATCCTCACTCACCAGCCATACTAGTGCCATCACCAGCTGAAGGGGGTGTTGCCATGGGATAAGCTACTCTCTTGTTGAGAGCGGTACGTCGGGGAGAGGCCTGGCTTTGAGCAGCAGCCCCATAGTTAAAGAGGGGAGGGTCATTCCACCCTCGGTCGGTGTTACCTGTGATGAAGATGACATGAAATGAACGTGAATTATCTTTCTGGATCTCTTGCAAATTGAAGATTATTCCATAAAAATATTTTTCTTCTCTTACTATGTGGAATTCATTTCGTAACTGACACAATGCTTTCTGTCAGACATTAAAAAATTGCAGTTACAAAAAAAGACCCAAGCCATTTTCTGATGATTATACTAAATAATGTTTCTACCTACATTGTGTCATCGGATCATAGGCTTTCAGACATCCTTTCAGAGAGTCATTGTTTATATTCAGGTGTTGGTTTGTTTTCAAGGAAAAGTTGTCTTTTATAAGTGAAATAGATGTTTTATAGTTGTTCATGTGATTAGAAAAAAAACCTATGACCGTTATGAGTGCCCGAAAACCCATAACACGGGATGTATATGTTGATCAGTTTATCAGAATCTTCTTTACTGCAGCCATTATTTGGTATACTGAAGACATAAATCCAACAGAAATGCTTTGACTACTTTTTGACAGTTGGTCAAGACCACTACTACAGTTAAATAATTCTAGTGTCAGCATTTCTAAGACCAATTGTAAAGGGGATTTAATGTATACAATTTGCAGTAGGCTGAACTAGTTGTAAACACCCGTTCGCAAAGGGGCCCCCGCAAAGGTTCTCAAGGTGTCATTTTAGTTTGTGATCGATCCAACATCATTTTTGTAATATAAAGGTGTGACAATAGGCCTTATCAATACGCGTTTACTTATTCGAAAAGAAACAGGTTTTCATTGTGTTAGGGGAAGGGAAGAAATAGAATGATATATAAAAGTCGCAATGAAGTTTTCAACTCAAAACTGTCTCTTCGTATATGTCTATCGAAGTGCCAATCGGAACTGGTTCAGAGGTCATGAATTATTGCAATAATGTGGTTCTTTGGCAGCATGACCCGTCCTGGCAGAAAATGCTCAGTCATAGTTCATGCAATGCAACAGTTAAAAACGAGTAGACGTGATAGGCAAGTTCGCCAACTCACCAGGCCTGGGAGCTGCCATGACAGTCACGTGACGTTCCCAGCCAATAATATTTTCACAAATGGGCACCTGTTAGCTGTTATATCAATGAGTCTCCGCCCTTCTCAGGCAGATTTTGTTTAGTGACAGTTTATGTCATTGGCGATGGTAGTTTGTATGCACTCAGCAGAATTTTGCACCCTTTAAACAACCTCAAAAGAAATCCACAGTAGTCGATTCTATACAGAGTCCATTAAGGAAGACTCAATAAACCTTATGCAAACGGACATTTATATTGTATTTGGGAAAAACGAACACATTGCCCTATATAGTATTTCCTGAACAACTACTAATACGAATTACGTCAAGACACAAACAGTTCTTGTCTGTAAGGGAGCAACCATTTATCTACAGGTGTGGTGGTCTTATAACAAGTCAAGCCTCTGTTTTACTGATTGTTTTTACACATGCCTCTCATTTGTAGACGAAAACATCCTGTTACTTGTTCATCATATCAATTATTTAATGAATACACCTCGTTATTTTTATTTATTTGAAAATAAAAATAATTGAGCACATAGCACTTTATGTTGGAAAAAATACTTGAGCGCCTAAACATTAAAATGAATTGAAACAACATCTGGAACTAAGAGCCAGGCTGGAGCATAGGAGTTTCTTTAATCAATAATCAGTAAGTGTAGGATGTGGATAGACACAATCCTCATTAAGGCACATCAGTAATCTAATACCAATATATAATTTATTTTTTACCCCTGCTATTTATATTATCTGTTTAGTATTGTATATAAAACAAGTGGGCAAACTGTCAATTTATTTTTGTAGTCACTGAGAGTAAATGGATGACATTACTGTTGGACATGCACTTAAAGAACATATATATATATATCCGCATAAACTAAAACACACCCTAAAAAGAAACCCAAGGTTTACATACACTCATATGGTGTATCATATATCCCATACCTTTTATTCAAATGTCACTGAACATGTTAACATAATTTTAGCTTGATGTGTTATGAAATACTGCGAAGAATGGTATGTATGGGGAATGTAACCTATTCTGCTCGTTAATCCTCTCGCCCACAACAGCAGTCGCGAAAGAAATCCACCAATGAAATTAGTCGTAGTGCAAATAGTATACTCAATAACTTCCCATGGAAGTGTAGGATATATCCACGCGGTGTACAGTGTCAATGGGACACATACCACCTAGTCGCCTACTGATATTGCTCACGGATGTACCTTGGATAAAAAGTGTATATAGATCCTGTTGTTTGATTGGTGAAGTGTCAATGTTTCTGTGTTATTTTATTTTGTCGCCATCCAGTCTGGTATGAAGAACTCGAGTGGAGTTTCATCTATACTGAAATTGACACTTGTCTCTTTCGTTTGGTCCTGGTTCGTGCAAGTGAGAAGTCATGATGTTCTAAGATCTGACAGAGCTTCAACGGGAACTGGTCCCCTTGACCAGATTCCGTCTAAATCCGAGGAGGGGAGTATTGTGTTTGGTAAGTAACAATTATTCTTAACTGTTTGAAACAGGGAGTGACATTTCTGTAACAACTTTTGACAGTTTCAAAATGTAAACAAATTCCCCGAGCAGGTCGTCATCACAAGCTTCATTGCACCAGTACTTTGACATCTCTCACTCTGTGTAGGACAATATATTCTTGATATACTGTTAATAGAATGTTAAGCTGACTGTGTGAATACATGACACTGACGTTATTTTTTTATTCCCTAGTTGAGATTTTCTGATTGGTAATATTGATTATTACTATATTAGAATTACGGTTATTAGTCTGACACAGTGATCTGTTGATAATATTTCTTGATTCTCTATATTACATTTAGGCCTATTGACACAAAGTTTCTCATCAAATTTAACAACGTAAAGTTGATTGTAAGACTTTGAAATCACTTAAAGCTGATTTTCGTGGAATCAAGACAGCTGTTTTTCTTTACAAGTTTAAGCAGTTGTAAAATAGTATTTGAATACACAATGCCCCTTTGAAAGTGGTCAAAAGTAACCAATGTTATAGGGTCTACTGTAGCATTTTCTTGGTAAAGTACAAATTCTACTACTTTTTAGGGTTGACTCCTATCCCGGATTCGAACCCACACTCTCACAGTGAGGCACCTAATCGTCAGCACACAAAGTCAGCAATCTAAGCAACTCAGCCACCAAGGCCTACTCGAAATTGAAGTCAGACAACTGCTATACCATGTCTGCTCTCAAGATTTCAGATCGGTTCATATTCTTGGGCAATGACTGATTGTCATCCAAAATGTCCTCAGATATTTTTCCAATTTGGTAAAGATATATATGAAGGTCCTGTCAAAAGTTGTTGATAGCATACCTTAATGGTTTTTGTGTCAGGAAACTTGACTGTACATACTCTGACTGAATATCACATTCACATTCCCTCGGTGGTGGAAAGAACCTTACTTTGACAGATTTGACAAGTTAATTAGCAGCACAATGACTCGGTTCCCTCCCATAACGTAGACCTCCAAAATGCAGACCTCCCAAAAAGCAGTTAAAATTAGCTCACTAATTAATTGGGCCATGCTGGTCACACCTAATTAATGAATGGACTGGTCCACTCCCCTGCTATGAGGGATTATCAATATGTTGAGACAATGAGCAGTAGTGGACAACAACATTGTCTTAAAAAAACTCCTCCTCTCTTTAATCTGCTCCCGGTACATCACAAATCTTATTCAAACATTACCTTTAAACAAGTTGTGGGATTTGTGTAAGAATATACCAAATGTTCTCAATCACTAATACTTCCTTCTCATGTGTATGGTATAACATATAAATATATTTGAACATGAGCTTCAACCTCGTCCAATTAAGGTATGGCTGGACTTACGAAAGTTGAGTATGTCTTGTCCCAGAAAGGTGCCCCACAAGTTCTCCTAGACAGCTACACGTATGCTAAGTACAGGACGATGATAAACAAGTGAAAATGACTGATAATCATAAATGACAATGAAATAACATTTGAATAAAAAATTGTGAACTCTACCCAGCTTTCTTTCTTGTTACATGGGTGATACCATTTTACTTAAGGGTACAGGGTACTAAATACTGATGCAACCAGCCATAACGAGTGTTGTTTTAACGGGTCTGCGTTTAGGCAGGTCTACGTTTAGGCAGGTCTACGTTTAGGCAGGTCTACGTTTAGGCAGGTCTACGTTTAGGGAGGATACCAATGACTCATGTGTGCCGGTTACCAAGGAAAATGATATCAAACTGATAAAAGTGAATGAACTTTGCACCTATACAGCCTTTCCCTGGTGTGTTTGGTGTCGGGGACTTGCTGCTCATGTCACAGATTCCACTGTGTTGCTGCATTCGAGTATCAGTGATATTTAACACTGTACATTTCAATCTGGGATGTCATTGTATATTGCGGTATCAATGTATTGGTAAAAGTTTATTGTTGATGTGTTTTGGTACAAATTTAGAAATATTGATACAAAATTGATAATTTACTGCCACAGAATTTTTTACATTTATCAGGATTATTGTGGACATTGAGAAGGCAGATAATAAAATTTTAAACATTTAGTGGATTTAGCATAAAGTTGATGTAACATTCTTCTGTACACTTTCAGAATATTTAATTTTATAAGTAATCAATATATCATACTACTTTTGAGTTGAAATACCGATTCAAAAATGTCTCATCAATTACACTGCTAACTCAAATCAATTACACTGCTAATTTCAATAAAAACTTACACAATGACTTAATTGCTGAGTCGGACGAAATCAGTGTAGGAGGTCCAAATCATGCATCTTTATTTAGAAAATTAGACTTTAGATGAATGAGTTTCTGGTGGCTTAGTATATGATTTTAGTGTAAGTTCCATGTGTGTCATCGCTGTGCACAGTACACAAGCACCGGTCAACTCTGCCCATATACAGTCAAGTCCCGTTAATCCGACATCGATGGTTGCATATGACTATGTCGGATTAACGAGTATGTGATATATATGTTTATATGGATAAACGAAATTTAGTAGTATCAACGTTCGTAATCGAAATTCGGACAACTACACAATAGATAAACAAGTAATAAAAAATATATAATAAATATTCATATTTTTATGTTACATTGTTGGCGGAATATGTTTTCTAATCAAGCAACCTATAAAGTTTAACACAAAACAACTATTCCAGGCTGTATGACTTATTCAAAATACTTTAAAAGGTATAGTCTGGAATGGAAGTCGCAAGTTTGAAACTGGTACCTAAAGCTTAAGAAAGCTGCTTTCTAAGTGGCTAACATCGACTTCCTGTTGGTCATTTCATTGGTAGGTCATAGTTCGCGAAAGGTTGTTCTGACGTGACCTGTAATGGGATGTCCTCGTCGATAGCGAGAACTTGTATCTGATTTTAATGAGATTGAGGTAATCTAAGCATGTGATTTATCCTGTTTTCTTTATTCAAAGCATTAATTGTTTATTTTTAAGCAAGTTTATCTTTGCAGCCATTGTTATATGCTGCTACCAGCCGATTCGTCTCGCATCAAAACATGGGCTGTGTATTCGCGGGCAGATGACCACGGAGTACGCTTATCACTGTGTTGGATTAATGAGACTGATTTCGGTAATTTGTTGCAAATTAGGTGTGTCAAAATGCGAGACTGTCAGATTAACGGGTCTAAGTAGCACTGATTTAATCCGTTGCCATCATTAGTGTCGGATAAAGCCGATTGTCGGATTAACGAGTGTCGGATAAACAAGACTTGACTGTACACAGGTATACAAGTAGCCATACAAGGAGAGAAGAGTGTATAAAGTCCAAACTTTGGCATCTTTGTCCGATGGAATACTTGTCAATAACGAGGTCAGTTGCAGCCAAACACCTGCTGACATGTAATCCACAGCGTAATGATAATCCCCATTATTCAGGTGTGTTAATTATCTGAGCACCCCACTCCCCTAACAACCACCACCCCAACAACCACCATCACCATTGTTCAGGTGTGTTAATTACCTGATAGATCCTGATAGATAGAAGGAACGGGTCTGCAATCTGTTCTGACAAGAGTCTTCATGTTTGCCAGAAATTCGTCAACAAGGCTCTTGGTCTTGGTACTAGCAGGCATGTGGTTGTGACTATCTCTGTACGTTGTTATCATTCCATCAGTGGCGTTGATGGTTGCAGGACATCCGGCCTTGCAACATCTCCAGTGTACCTTGGCAACTCTTCTACTCTCAACCCTAAATGTATGACCTTGGTAACAAAGGTTCTGGCCACCTTGGAAATAAACTGAACATTCACTTGTACATTTGCCATCATGAAATGAAGCAATGATGTACTTCTTCATGTTCTTACTCATTTATACATGTTTGATTAAAAGTCTTCACTCAAATAAATTCATTTTCACAATTACCATGATTACATATAACATGTTAAATCATGAAAGTTCATCTTTGACATTTGTGTACAAATTTTGTGAATACTTTTCACCATAGCTAATCAGTACCTGGCTGGTGCCGGCTGTACAGCAAGGCATGACGGCTTTTCTGGATTAACTGGATTAATCTTAATTAATCCAAATTAATCTGCCGGCACAGTGGGAACAAACTTATCAATCCGCGTGGTGTGTCGGTGATGTGTTACAACACGCTAACTACTAGGTCCGCCCAAACACTTTAGCATCAGTCAGTTACAGGACACAGAGCTCCAGATGACTTTTTGAGTTTTTAGTCTAGGGTTTCTATTTAAATTGGGATATTACATTTTTTTTGGGGGGAGGGGGGGGGTAACCAATAATTTTTCACTCATCTATTCATCACTGTATTGGGTTTTTCCCCAAATTTGTGAACATTTAAGATTTTACAAAAAATGAAATAATGTTTTTGATGTTTATTACTGTTCTAAATATGTAGGCTTGACTCAGAAAGTGAATTAGCTCATAACTGTGTTTTTTTTGGAAATTAGCTCCTTTGTACGCATGCTGAAGAAGCTTTGTTGGGTATTTACATGTGCAGTTTTCATACATTTCAGTTTTTCATTAGATGCATGCGTTTCTGTATGCAAGTTAATTGAAAGTAATTAGGTTTTGAATATCTTTGGGGGGTATTTTACTTAAATACGCTGCTTATCTGTAGCTCTGCATGACACCATTATGACACAGGTTACATTCAAAGATGTTGATAGATATGTGAAACTGGTTGGTTGTATTTTCTGCATTCTTATCAGTTCCGAAATAGCTGAGATGATTGACAACAGATATTACAGCAATTTGTAAACACTGTGCCAAATTGTCCCTTGACGTTTGGATTTGTCTGCATATTTAATATATGTATATGTACAAGAACATATATAATATATGTATATATTCAAGCACTTACAAGCGCATATATAATATATGTATATATACAATGTATGCAAGCACATATAATATATGAAAATATACAACTTTGATATATGTATATATACAAGCACATTTATCATCCAGAACTGGCTCCCACAGGAGATATG